CTGGCATATCCTCTGACCACCCCTACTTTCTGGGTCCAGGACTACTAAAGCATGGGTCTGGGCTGCTCATTTCTGTATGCTTGGATGACGTGCTTACTCGTTTATAGCGCATCCTGCTCTGGACAAGAAAGAAAACGTTCCGACCGCTGGGTCTTTCGAAAATGACATAAAGAATGCTGATGACTTTAACGACCTGAGCTCGAATGAACATCTTACCGAAAACCGCCTCCCTACTGACGAAGAACGTGCAACACTGAGACTTGTCAGTGCTCCTGTACCATGGGCCGCCTATGCCATCGCGATTGTGGAATTCGGTAATTATTTCCTGATATACGATTTATGAACTTTCATTCACTGTTCGTTTAATTAGCTGAGCGCGCCAGCTATTATGGATGTACTGGAAGTGTGTATCTCGAGCCATCTTACTCAAGCCACGCTGATCAACCGACACCATCCAGTTTTCAACAACTTTATCCAAAGACCCCTTCCCCTCGGAGGAAACGGAGCAGGAGCTACACCCGCCGGCACGCAGCTGACACCGGGTGCTCTTGGCCTCGGCCTCAAGACTGCCACTGGTCTCACCACAACCTTTAGTTTTCTTGCCTGTACGTGCCAATCAGTATCGGCATTCATCCGCTAAACAGAAGGTACAGATGTCTTTCCTGTACGTACAACTCTGGTTGGGGAATCCCTCCCAAATTCAGCTACCTACTTCCACTAGATTCTCGGAGGAATCATCGCTGACACTAAATGGGGCCGTGTAAGTGATCACTCTGCTCCCGTCCTTACTCCAAACCGAGTCATTTTTTCTAGTACAAAACTATCTGTGTTGGGACGGCGATCGGCTTCGTCGCACACGTAATTCTCTTCGTCGGTGCGCAGTAGTTTGCACCTCAATTACAACATCCTACCAATTGATTTCCACAGCCGCTATCCCATCTATCATCCACGGAGGACACGCAATTATACCCTTCGTTATCTCCATCTTAATTCTGGCTCTGGGTACTGGGTTGATCAAGGCCTCGTACGTCTTCATCATCCTTCTACTACATTACTTCCTTTTTTCAGCTAATTGATGCTCTTAGAGTGGCTCCACTCATGGCAGACCAAGCGCCAATCCAAGCCCAGAAGATTACGACACTTGAAACAGGAGAACGAGTAATCCTTGACCCAGGAGTTACGACTCAGAATATTATGCTTGTGTGGCTGATTTTTTCAACATCGAATCTACCGTACTGATAAGATGTTTAGATCTATTATTGGAGTATCAATCTAGGGGCTTTCCTTAAGCTAGGAACTACGTGTAAGTTGTAAATTTGCTCTACTATCACCTATAACCTACAACTATACCCCATAGACGCGGAAAAACGTATAGGCTTCTGGCTCGCCTTCCTCGTCCCGCTTATCGTCTATTTCCTGATGCCTATCTTCCTCCTTATCACGCGCAAGTCTCTCATCAAGCTACCTCCTCAGGGCTCTGTAGTATACGACACCCTCAAAGTGGGGAAAGTCCTCATTTCGCAGGCCGGGGTCAAGAAAGCTCTCAAAGGTGGTGACGAATTCTGGAATTCCGCGAAGCCGGTACGTCGGGTGTTAGTTGCCGTGCCCCAATGAATTTATGATCTGAACTGCATTCAGACACAGATAGCTGCATCTGGTGGACTGAAGAACAAGAAGGCTGGCTGGATCAAGTGGGATGACGACTTTGTTGATGAGATTAGGCGGACGTTTAAAGCCTGCAAACTTTTGTGAGCAGCTTAAATTTCGGTATACCTTGATCATCCTCATCGGACCCTCAGTATCTTTCTCCCCATCTTCTATCTGGCTGATGGTGGTTTGAGCACGATCCAGACGAGTCAGGCTGGTAGCATGACGACGAACGGCGCGCCGAATGATTTACTTTCTAATTTTAATCCTCTGACGATTATCATAATGGCACCTATACTCAACTTTGGTGTTAGTGTTTTATTCTCAATCAACTGAAATTTTGGCAGCTAATTTGCCGGCCCAGGTCTATCCTTACCTACGTAAAATGGGAATCAACTTTTCACCTATCCGTCGCAGTAAGCTGCTGTTATTAACTTCAGAATTCACTAGGAAAAATAACATTACGGTCCAACAGTTGTAGTTGGATATATTCTTGCCGCGGCGACCATGGCCGTTGGGGCAATCCTCCAATGGCGCGTCTATGAGACCTCACCGTGCGGTTATCATGCCACGCGCTGCAAAATCGGGACGACGGTATCGCCTCTCAGTGTCTGGTCTCAGCTCCCTCTATATGTGCTCCCAGCAACTGCGGAACTCCTCATCAACATTACGTGCTACGAAATGTAGGTTTCTTAGTGTGATCCTTCCTTCTCTCAGATCTGAACTACTTTGCCAGTGCCTATACCCGCGCACCTCAGCGCATGAAAGGACTAATTTTCGCTATCGTCCTGTTCATGAACTCCCTCTCCAGTGCCCTCGTTCTCATCATCTCTCCATCCTTTGCGGACCCAGATTTGATCTGGCCGTTCGTCGGTATCGGCGGAGCTTGTCTTATTTCTGCCATTGCTATCTACATTTTCTTCCACAAGATGGACCGGGAAGAGGGTGATGTTGTTGCTATTGGTACAAATAGGCCAATTGATGGCCGGGAAATTGAGGATTCTGAGAAGGCTTGATCATGGGAAGGAGGATATGTGTCTTTTTGTATGTCTCGAAACGAATATCAACTTGCCCAGAATGAACTGCAAGCAATCATATGAACTTCACCAGATTTATCCAGCCCTCCATGGATAATGATATTGATAGTAGACTTCGCGCTTTACTAGTTTTCTGACTCTCAGTATCTGCGTGTTATTGGAGCTAATTGTCGCTTTTTCGGAGATTTCGGAGGTTGTTTGACCAAGGCACAACCAAACATACCGGATATGTAGTCACCGCCACCATCGATCTGTGACCCCTATCTACCATGAAATATTTCTCTACGCGGGGTGGCGACGAGAAGCTGTCTTTCGAAGAGGTGAAATATTCTCCAATGAATAGCAGATATGAGTACTAATTTTTTTCCCCTCAGACAATGCTTACTGGGCTCGCACCCAACGGAGGATTGTACATCCCAGAGTATATTCCTGCACTCCCAGAAAACTGGAAGTCTGAATGGAGCAATTACTCCTTCATTGAACTCTCCGTTGCCGTCCTCTCGCTCTATATTTCACCGAACGAGATTACCCGGGAAGAGCTATACGGGCTCGTCGAAAAGTCCTACAAAACATTTAGACATCCAGAAGTGACTCCTTTACATAAACTGGACGATAAAACCTTCGTGCTAGAACTATTCCATGGTCCTACTTTCGCATTCAAGGATGTGGCGCTTCAACTACTCGGCAACCTGTTCGAATTCTTCCTGCTCCGTCGAAACGCAAGCAAGGCAGAGCACGAAGAAACGGAAAGGTTAACAGTTGTTGGTGCAACCAGCGGTGACACAGGAAGGTCATTGGCATATTGTGCTCCGATTTTTCTCCTTTTGACACCTCGTCACCTGTAGCGCAGCAATTTATGGCCTGCGAAATAAAGCTAACATATCGATATTCATTCTACATCCGAAGGGCCGCGTCTCCCCCATCCAGGAGGCTCAAATGACTACGGTCATGGACGCTAATGTACACAACGTTGCTGTTAAGGGCACCTTTGATGATTGTCAAGTATGTCTGACTTCATGATCTTGCTCATGTCGACCTGAGGTCAGCGATATATAGGATATCCTCAAATCCCTATTTGCAGACAGAGAGTTTAACTCTACTCACCGTCTTGGCGCTGTCAACTCGATCAACTGGGCGCGTATTGTCGCGCAAACTGTTTACTACTTCCTCTCCTACTTCCACCTCAGATCTCAACTACCTGCCGGAAGCAACATCGACGATTTAGAAATCCAATATGTGGTTCCGACAGGTAACTTCGGAGATGTCCTCGCAGGTTATTACGCGAAGCGTATGGGCCTCCCCATGTCCAAGCTTGTGGTTGCGACCAACGAGAATGACATACTTGCGCGCTTCTGGAAGAGCGGAAAGTACGAAAAGGTGGATTCCACAGTGACTGGCGACGACGGGTCTTCAGGCCCTACGGCACCCGTCGATGGGTCATCGGACGGAAAGCAAGGAACTGAGATTTCCGGGGTGAAAGAGACGCTGAGCCCAGCGATGGACGTGTTGGTCTCGAGTAACTTCGAGCGGCTTTTATGGTACCTTGCATTGGAAAATGCCTCTGGATCACCTGTGGAGAAGCATGCAGAGGCTGGGAGGCTACTCGATGGCTGGATGTCGAACATGAAGCACGATGGCCGGGTAGAATTGCCGATAAACGTACTCGAGTCAGCCAGGAAAGACTTCTTGGCTGAGAGGATATCTGACCGCGAGGTATTCTCAAAAATTCTTGATTGTCTCTTCTTTCCTAAATCTTGGTGCTTTAGACTCTCGCGACGATTCAAAAATATTTCCAAGAAAACTCTTACGTCGCAGACCCACACACTGCTGTCGCACTTGCTGCCTCGCGCATTGTCGCAAAGTACGTCAGCTCCATTTATTTGGCTCTTTAAACCTTCCGAGGATGCTAAATAAGCCATAGCCCCTCCGATACATACCAAATTGTCCTCTCGACTGCGCACCCAGCTAAGTTCTCCGAAGCCGTTTCCCGTGCGCTCGATGGCTCTCAGGAGTTCAACTTTGACCGTGATGTGCTTCCTGAAGAGTTCCGCGGCCTCTTGGAAAAAGAGAAACGGGTCATCGATGTCGAACAGCCAGATGTAGAGCTAGTAAAAGCTGTCATTGAGAAGTTGGTAGGCCACCAGGATGGTAAAATCAAAGAATCTGGAAGTATTTAAATTAATGTATAGATCTACGATAAAAAATATATATCAAACAATTTTTTCCATAATTACTAGAAATCAATGAAGAAAACCAAGGCTTGGGCTTGGGGACAGCTTGGGGATACGAGAGAAAAAAGAGTGGAAATGAGAAAATTTCGGGTTCGGGGAATCGAACCCCGAGCTGCCGCGCAGTGTATAGAGATGAGAGGCGGCAATGTTAGCCGTTACACCATACCCGATGCGCAGATTGTGAACCTTATGGTCTATATATGTCACCTGCACATATTAATATTACCATCGGGTATTCTTCAATCCCCATCATCACGTCCACCATGCTCAATCCTGCAGGCACAACCATATGCGTGGTCGCAGAATGGATCCAAGCCTCATCGCGCGTGGCTTCTCTTGATTCCCCACTGCTTTCTCTCAGGTCTCTAATCAATGTATTTGACGCCAAAGTCTGATCCCAGTTGCTTGAAATTGGACATCGACCTGGACGACGAGTTCCTGGACTTCTTATGCATCATCCAACGTTTATTGCACTGGATTGCGACTACTTGGACACGTTTGGGTAAGCCTATCTTGTGTGGCCGTCATTACGACTTTCTAAACAAAACTTCATTGTCACAGTTACCGCAATACCCCTTCCGACAAGTATTTGGCATTGGCTGCGATGGGCATTCAGTTGGCAGACCCTCGGCAAGTCTTGTCTTCTCTGAAGTTGACATTGCCCTTCATATCCAGTACCTAATACATAGGTAACTTGATTCATAACATTTTTATACGCCCGTCCGAGTGGCCAGTGCAGTGGTTCCACACAGCCAAATGGTTCTGTAGGTGTAGCTGTAACCTTTCTGACTCAATACTTGTCTCAAACTGATACATACAGTCCTAACTCATCCACACGTCGTCCATATTGTGTCGCTTTCAATCTTCTTTGGACCTATCGCAATCTTGCTACCGATCCTGCTATTCCAAGAGCTGCTTATGGGAATCGTCTTTAACCTGATCTTCATATTTCATGGACTACTTCCAGGTAAGCTACCTCTCGCAATCCTTATGCCTATCGTTTATGCTCGCGTCAAGGTTCTGCTAAAGATCATTACACCGCACTTCACTCTGCCTTGGATCAACTAAGAGGGCCAATAGGCTCTTCGGTCGATTCGCTCAGTACCAAATACAACAAGTTCACGACAGAATTCTGGCCTCTTATACTTGTTAGGCTATTTGCACTCGGGCTTGGTGGGTTTGCACTATATCACGTTCTCAGCGACAAGCAGTGGTGGGAGAACATATGAAAGATCACAAGTACAATTCCATTATCTACAAATCTACTGTTTAGATTTCCTTCTTTCCTCCTTTGATTAGTAAATGTACTTCTTTAGTTGCAGGACGGACCCTATACAATCGATGAACTACAATCCATTATTACTCCCCGTCAGTATCGTAGGATTTATGATTTATATGATAATGGTGTAAAAGACAAGGATGTAAAGATCCCCGTCCGCGACAAACCGTGAAAAGTGTTGACGAGGAAACCCCACCACTCGTATTTGAATGGTCACACATGAACGAATCAAACGCAATTTCAAGTATAGCATTAATATACAGGTAAGTATGGGTACACCAATAACGCACGGGTCATAGCAGGGGGTTGGCAGCGGAAGATTCCGAGACAACGACTCCCTCATATCGTTAACCGGGAGGTGGACGGGTGTAGCGGCACCGTGACCGGTGACCCTCGGACCGGTCTTAGAGCCGTGATCTATCCTACAGGCATTATATATTTCCTTTCTCCCATTGTTCCTACTACCACACTAGTATAAGTACTCCGACCTGTTAGTAGATACGGCAGTCCTCTCAGAAATACTAGGTTTTACCTCTGTTCTCTCTGAGTCCCGACTACCTCCGTGTAACGTCACAGTGACTACGTCACCCTGCCCTTACATCTTTTGAACAGGAACATCTCCTAGTTCGAACCTCTGCTTAACTCGTCTTCACTCGCGTTTCTCTGGAACCTCCGCGTCTGATCAACCCGGACTTCCGAACTCGTGAGTAACCCCTCGTAACCGTTTACTGAAAAAATATGGCTTCTAGGTATTTGCTTCGTGACCGCCGCGGCCGCGGCGGCACTTTGCTTCTTCGTCCTACCGCGGTACCTACGCGCGGTAGTCCTGTTAGGGCCTTCGACGACCTTCACTTAGAAAGGTCTCGTGCCGCTTCGGAACCCTCTAGTCTCTCGGACCGTGAGGACGCCGGAGTGGATGTGCCTCATCCGTTTGCCAGGAGTGCCGACTCGCTCCTGTTCCCCGAGGCTGCAGCCTTGGATGCCCCTGGACCGCAGGACAGGGAGG